GAAGCTGACAACTTGGCTAAAAATGTCAGAGTACAACATAGGGCCAAGGCTACCCGTTATTTACTGTGTACTTACTAAAGTTACGTATTTCAGATGTGTAAGTTAAGAACTGATTACAAAATTATTTCTACTTTTGTCCACTGTGCTAAACTGATTTGTTTTTAATATGGTAAATGTGCTATTGCGTAAACACTTCAAAGCAATCTTCATTACACTGCCAGAAAACCCCATACGCTGCATCCAAAACTCGGGATGTCAATGCAGTTCACAGTATGCATAATAAATACCCTCCTCCCTTTCAAATATTAAAGTCTCTACTTTCTAATTACTCAGCATAACCTTGAAGCAACTATTACAAATATCAACAATGCAAACTTAATCACTTGAATAATGAAAACAAATTAGTGGCAATTAAATTTGTAATACAAACAGTGCAAAGAAAAAGCATGGAGGGAAAGGGGTAATCCTATTGAAGTAAGGTTCAGATTCTCATTAAAAAACCCTCGCAAGTCGTATGCTACAACACATTACAAGCCAATACTATGTTTGGTTTGACTCTCCTGCAAGAATTGCATCAAACGTTTGCAAGACAGATTTCTTGGATGGCTAAATTGCACTCATATATTCAAAGGAAAAAAACAATTACTTAAGTTAAATAGTTGCTTTTATGGGAAACATTTTTACTCATCCTTTCCTACTTGACCAAGGTAGTGAAGTGCCATTTTTGAGCCAATGACTCGCCAAAACAAATAAATGCAATCCACACTGAAGAATAACTTTCAAATACATACTTCAAGGTTCTACTTTTCCTATATAAACTGGATAGCCCCTCAAAATTGTAACACTTTGAACTGCAGCGCTCCAAACAATTTAAGATGTCTTCCAAATGTAGACTGTGTAGTGGGAGATCCTAAGCTGTGCAGACTGTAGCTTTATACAACATCAGCTGCCTTAGGAAAGTTAAGGTACACAATTACATTACTCTTCAAAGTTATGGACAAAACCCCTCTGAATACAGTATAGCCTAACACGCATCTGTTCAAGCCAGTAAGTAAGTTTAAAGTACACAGACACCTATGGCAGCATAATTACTTCTGTGTAAGGTAGCCATGGCCTAAATTTTGCAACAGCATCGAAGTGTAGGTCTTCACACTTTACTCATGTTAAGTCCCTTGTGCTAGCTTCCTCCAAGATGAACTTGCTGTTTTGTAAACTGAAGTGCTCTAGTTTAGTATCACATGAGAGAAGGTTCCATTTAAAAAACATCCTTGTATGTTTGTGCAGTTTAAATTAAAGAAACCCACCCCTGCCTTTATATGAAAAAAAAATTAAAATGCTACATTGAGCAGGGATCAGGATCGGTACCTGTAAACATTGTTATTCCACTGCATCCGTGTCGGCAAAAGTAACTTAGACTAAAAAGCCACTCCAATCTGTTCAGAACTTGTGTGCTGGTTTTGAAATGGTGGCCTCCGTCTACAGGCTTAAAAAAAAAAACTGAAGCAGAGCTTAAAGCTGCACCACAGAGTTCTCTTAGTCCCAAACTCTGCCGAACATCCTATGACATTTCCACATTTATGGACTGAAAAAAGAAATTACTCTTGATAAATCAAGATATAGTTCTATACATACAAAGACATCACTGATGTCATAAAGTTCAAACTTCCAGTGAAAGACTAAGCAAACCTGATAGCTCCCATCAAGTTTACTACTACTGCATAAAGTACCCACTGTTTATTTAGTTTTCCACAGTCATTCTGAGTGAAGGGCAGCATGTTGGTGCAGAGTGTGGGTATTGATAAAACCATTTGTCTCATTTGCAGATAGACTGCTGAAGCCAGCCACTGAACCAGCCATTTTGGCACTGGTAATATGGTGTGTGTGGTTCTCAAAGTCCACACCATCATTCATGAAAGATTCTGGGACAGCAATTCCCATTTTCAATCTCTTCGCAGGTCTTTCCGTCTCCTCACTGCACATGTTCATTGGATTTAGCTCTGAATGATAAAAGCCAGTCTCAAATAAATTAAAACAATCACTTTCACCATTGCTAGGCAAGTTAAGCAATTCTTCTGTTCCAACAGGCACATGATTAACTGGTGCTCGGGGTAAGCTGTCCATAGGAGGAAAGGCGTCATCCAGGCAGTTCACATCTGAAGTGTGGCAGACTGTAGCTACGCTATTTGTCAATGCTGGAAAAAAGATGAACGTAAATGCAAATTAGGTAGTTGTTTGCACAGTTACAACAAAACGATTTTTTTTTTCCTTGATTTACCTGTCAACTCATTGGCAGTGATAGAGTTCAGAATGCTCAGCTGTTGATCAGGAATGGTTTCTGTTCGGCTATTAGATGTTAAGGCTGAAGAATGCACTGCTCCACCAAGGGCTTCTGCTTCATCTACCAAACGATCCATATAGTCCCTAGAAGAATATTGCATCCATAATGTATTATTTAACCAGAAACAGGTGATGGATTTAATTTCAGTTGCTATAGCCACTGCAGCATTACACTGCAATGACAAGGGAAAAAAATCTTCTACATTTACTATTTGCAACAGAAAACATATTCCAATAACGTTTTACTTACGTAACTCCTGGATGATGGTTATATCTCTTCTTTCCAA